GGGGAGGGGGTGGGGTGGGGGTGGGGTGGGGCTCTGACCCTGGAAAGGAGAAGGAGCTGCCTGTGTAAACAGAACTAAGAGGGGCTAAACAAAGCAGCAGGCCCAGAGGAACGAGGGTTTCATTCTGCCCACAGCACGGCATGGGGAAGGCCGCAGTGGGGAGGGGCGAGGGCGTGTGGAGATGGAGCAGGACTTTGTAAGCAAGAGGGAGAGACGGCCCTTTCAGACTCTGGCCAATTTGTGGGAAGGTTCCCTAATATCATGCTACACAAGGATCTTCAAGAAAGCCCCCTCCCTCTGAGCTACTGAATTGTTGCTCAAGAGCCCGTGGCCCAGATGGATGTCATGGGTAGGGGTGTGTGAAAACTTTCAAAAGAACAGTGAAGAGCCTGTAAAATCAGCCACGTCAGTTGTGGCATACTGGCCACAGTTCTATCTGCAAAATTTTCATCAAGATGGGAAAGAAAAACAAAGAGATCCCCTGTGCCTTGGGTACCTGGCGGGTGACAAGGTTTAATCTGATGGAGCCTTTTGATATCACTCCCACCCCCTGACAAGTACGTGCACGCTGGCCCTTCCTCTGCTCTCCTGGGGAGACTCAGGTAGCCCGCTCCGGGAGGCGCGCTGCTTGAGCTGCTCCACGTTTCCTCTGCCAGGCTGTGGCAGCCTCACCGACAGTCTGGGCCTGGTCCTGTAGAGTCCTAGCAAGCCAAGGCTGTCCTTGGTTTGGGGAGATCCTTCATCTTTCCTGGGGTTGAGGAGAATTTTCTCCTCACCTGGATTTCGTTTTACGCCCATGGCCACACCTGCCTCGGGGTGAGAGAAGACCCTGCCCAGCGGCAGCGTGCAAAGGCCCGGGCCTGATAGGGTGCTCCACGGTGCTCTCTCCCAAGCAGGCAGCCAGCCTTTTCCAGCTTTCTCAGTCCTCCCTGCGTGACAGGACTGAATATTCGTTTTCTTCTGTTTTCACCTGTCAGAAATGGAGGAACACGAGGAGCACTGCCGCCCCACCCCCACAGGGAAGCCAGTGTGGCCGAGTGGATAGAGAGAACACCTCCCTGCTGTGCAAATGTCCAAATCAGGGCCGTTCTGTGGGGAAGCCAGTGTGGCCGAGTGGATAGAGAGAACACCTCCCTGCTGTGCAAATGTCCAAATCAGGGCCGTTCTCGTCCTGGGTGCAAGGCTGGCTTCGGCGTCCCCCTCCGAGAAGAAGTGGGTGCTGCCATCCTGGCGGAGAATGAATGTAGAGGGAGGGCAGGGGACTGTATGTAATTGGCTTAGGGTTTTCGTGGCCCCCCTCAAAGGCTCTGCCCTCAAGGTCACAGGCTAAGTAAGGTAGGTGGCTTGGAAACACCACCTGGGGCGCGGGGCTTTCTTTCGCCAAGAATGGACAAAGCAAGTGAGGTAGGGCCTGGGGGTCGCTTCTGCCGTCGGGGAAAGCGGATCAGTGGCCCCGGGGAAGGCGTCGGGGCGGCAAAATAAGATCCCCTCCCCCCCTAGAGCAGCAGCTGGGGCCACGGGTGCTGTGTGTGTGTGCGCGTGTGTGTAAGTGTGTGGGTGCGTGTGTGTGAGTGCGTGTGTGCGTGTGTGCGTGCGTGTGTCTGTGTCTGTGTCTGTGCCTCTGTTCGCGCACAGCCGGGCCGGGCAGCTCGAGCCGCGGCCCCCTCCCCTTTCCCGCAGCCCCCTGCCC